TGTGTGTGTTTGTGTGTGTGTGTGTGTGTGTTGTGTGTGTGTGTGTGTGTGTGTGTGTGTGTCTGTGTGTGTTTGCGGAAATGTGTGTGTGTGCGCGCGCGCGTGTGTGTGTATGTGTGTGTGTCGGTGTGTGTGTGTGTGTCGGTGTATGTGTGTATGTGTGTGTGTGGGAGGGGGGGTATACAGGTCCACACGCCCTTATCCGGACCCCTTGAGAGGGATGTGCTTCGGAACTTAGGATTTCAGAACGGTGGTATCTTTTTCATCGACGGTACTTTACTACCAAGATCTGAATAGATTGTGTTACTGAATACATGATGTTCATACGGATGCTCCTCATTTCTAGCGCTCATGACCGCATGAACGGAGCTACGCTAAATTTCATCAATACTACCAGCTTAACGTATTATAATTATCTCAATTATAGGCTTACAGTAATATATATCCTATATATATATATATATATATATATTTATATATCAATATATACATATATATATATCGTTTAGATATTTAGTCTAAATGAGAAAAACATTTTGGACTTTTGCAGGAGAATCATTTCATTTGTTGAAATACTCTCATATACCTATACATAACTGCTGACACGGCTAGAGCGTCGGCTATCGTCACTACTAGACGACCACCACAGGAATCTACCGCCAGGAGGCGCGCTAGTCGCGGCCAATTACCAACTAATCAATCCACAGGATGGGCTACTTTGCGGCGCTTTTATTACAATACGGCACTATATCGTCGGCTGAATAATTTAACCGGCTGACAAAATATCACTTATTCACGAAGGGTAGTTGTCACCATGCCCGCTATTAGTAGGCGTATATGCCAGAGAACGATGCCGATGCTAGGGAGCGTTATGAGGGGGAGGGGCGTTAAACATGTGCTAGCACTGTTCTCGTGACCGTTCTATCATCAACTGGCGCCACCTGGATGGTTGGCAAGCGTTTGCCGACTGCCTGACACGACTGAACCGTACATTTTACGCAAACAGCAAAGCAACGAGTGCGGAGACGATTCACGCGTGCAACTTACGTGATTGCTTCCCAGAATATTCGGCGCTGCTTCTATGCGCCGAGGTCTTTTTAAATCTCTTGCAAACAATTGTGGAACAGTGTGTGGTGAAATTGACAATCGAGTGGTGCAGATAAAAAGGCTGTGATGATAGAAAATTGAGAACATCTCGTTGAGTGCCGGAAAATACCGAGGACGGTAATTTCACGTGCCAGTTGGATAAATTACGCGTAACATTGTCATATTAATATTGTAACAAATTGCAAACGATAAAACTGGAAAAAAGTTGCTAACAGGACCAATGCTCCTATTAACCAGGACTAATGCTACTACTCTCCATAATTCTCTCTCTCTCTCCCTCTCTCTCTCTCTCTCTCTCTCTCTCTCTCTACACACACTACACACACACACACACACACACACACACACACACACACACACACACACAC